AAGGAGATGTTCAGGCTTGGATGCGCTTCATCATTGCTTTAATAATGAAAATAATTGGTGATCGAAAACGACATTTCAATCTGGCCAACCTAATACTACTAAAATCTTTCAGAACATAGTGGTGGGGTGTGGACTAGCGACGAATTGTATCAACTGGTGCGATTATCTACGGAGAAATTCCCACCAGGTATTTAAGCTTTTCTCATCTCACAAATACTACGTTTGGGAATTTCTCCTAGTTTGTGGGTTGTTTTCGGCACTCCGAATCGCTGGGAATGCATGGCGCGAGTACTTAATCGAAGTGCTCAAGACATAACTGCAATGGCGGGGAAATTGAAGCATATGAAACAAGTGAGTCATTCTCCACAACAACTTGGTTATGTTTGGAGCATTAGCTGCTCACCGAACATACGTTAAACTCCGGCCTTTAGTTTGACTATTTTAGGAGGAATACGCTAAACTAGCCATGGGGCAGCAGTCACCGAGTGTGATGGATGTTCACATCTCGAAACAGTCGGACAGTCCAAATGCAGCCTCAGTGAGTATTTTGAAAAACTGAATTCTCTTGAATATTTCTATTTCCCGTGGTCCTTGCTGTTCTTTTTTTCTTTCTCCATCCATCTCTTCCTTTTTCCTATCTTCTCATTTCTTTTCCACGTAGTGCTTGACCAGGATGTTGCGGATGGTTGCGATCGTTCATTTAATTTTATTTGAACATAGAATGGACCTTCGCGTAAAGGAGATATTGTCACAAGTAGTGAGTTTCCAGTTACTGAAATGGGAGCCATTGAGAAAGGACCCATCTAGCAAATGGGGAACAGCAACCATAAAAAATAGTGAAAGCTTGTCCATCTATGCTCTGAACAACAGCAACAATTTAGCCTGGTGGAGTTTGCGCTTCACAGATTTGTTGTCGTGGAATCATTATTTATCCTGATGTTTCTACAGGACGTCTTCCTCAAACCCAAAAACATTCTCTACAAATATGATGTGGCACTGGACCAATTCTGCATAATCTGGTAACCTCCCCTTTCATCAGTTGGAATTTCGCCTCTGAAGCTCAAAAGGTGTAACACTCAAAGAGGGATTCCACGATAAGATCGGGAGTCAAAAAGGGAGAAACCTACCAAGTGGAAGGACACGTTAAGGTTGAGGAGAGTAACTGAGAGTGCCGAATGGCACGCGTTACGCAGCGCAGGGTGGCCTAGCATGGTCGTCTCCGATCCGCTGTCGCTGCTGCCCACCCTCCCTTTTAGCCGTCTGACCTTAGTGGTTCAGTAGAAAGGGCGTTATCGTTGAAGAGGGCAGCACCGATGGGAATCGCATCGATGCCGAAATCAACATGTAAGAAGTGGTATTTTTTGGTACTAAACTGTTCTTATGGTTTTTTCTTCCCTGTAATTTGATTTCTGAGGGGCTGCCTTTTCATCGTAAACTTCCCTTTGATGACGGAATATTTTGGTAAGCTCAATTTTTTAGTGGTACGTGAGTGTTGAGAACATGAGGCACTGCACAGAGGCTTTACGTCACAAGCAATGGCAGTATACGATCAGTCTCACAGGATCTTGTAAAGTTGACTACAATTCCACGATCCACGCACGCACCCATACCAGTAGCAAGCAACAATGTTTTGAGATCAGAGGAATTTAGCAGGTTGTAGTAATGGAGATAAATAGAAGCTCCGCTATGGTTCTTAGTACATAATTTGCCGATTCATGAGGTGCGAGACAAGGCGGGCTTAAAGAAAGATATTTGAATGAGGAGTATGAGATTTATTATCGGTACATTTCGAAATGCTTTTTTAGTCCCTCACAGCGATGATTGGTGAAACGCGCCACACAGTAGCCTAAACAAGTGCACATATAATGAGCACTTGCGCTAGGTTTCAAGAAGGGCGGACCAAGGGGAGTAAGGTGCTTAGAACCCACTATTCCTAGCATTTCCCATCTCGATCCGACGGTGAACACCTGGCGATTGCTTCACTCTCAACGCCTCCATATATTTCCACTGAGCTAGTTTGACACGATACTGAAATCGCTTCATGTTTTGCAGTTGTCCTCGGAATGGTCGCAGCTCGAGCAGAAGCAGTTAGAGACGGCTCTGCAACAATATCCCAAAGGATGTGAAGATCGGTGAGCTTTACAAGGACTCTTTCTGCTGATTTTTAGGAGAATCCTCTGCTGTTTAGATGGGATAAAATTGCGAGTGCCGTTCCGACAAAGTCGAAAGAGCAGTGCCAACAACGGCTGAAAGAACTCGTAGAGTTGGTGCGGCGAAAAAAGGCAAGCGTCCAAGGCAAGGCGTAGGTGGTGGTTATCGCCCTTTGTTTCTGTTTTCTAGTGATTTTTTTGGTGTTGTATATCTTGTGGGGTATTTGCTTTCCTGCTCACTATGTACGGCTATATTTACCTTATTTATTTCGTGATAAGAACACTCGAATACAGCATAAAATAACACATCGAAAATTTCATGGCTATTTGTTCATTAAAGCACTGTGATAATAAAGTTGAGCGATGATTGAAAGTTGATTAGCACACTTCTAAGGCACTTGAGACATCATGGGGGGTTCTGTCATGCTGCTCGTGAAAGATGGCAGTACTACAAGTGAGCTCTTCTCACAGATGTACTGACCAACAGAGCCCACTTTGAGCTTTTCACTGGTACCTAAGAAACAAGGTAGATAGAAAGAACATCATAGAGAAATCGTAAAACGATTAACGAAAATCTAATATCACATGAGAAAGTCTTGCGCAAATATAATGTCATCTCATGACAGTACATTTGTGCAAGCTGAAGACGTAGGCAAGCTGAATACACAGACGAAATCATCATAGTCAACATCAACACGTCCTAAGGCTTAAATTAGAAGTCGGTCGTTGGCAACAAGGAGGCTGGACCCGAAAATGAAACGATTCGGGTTCAGTGGCGTTTGGTAAAGTTTGATTGGCATACCTCTATATAAATCTAAAATCTTGCTGACTACTGCAGTATTTACAAAATAAATGCTGGATGTGAAATACATGTGCGAATCTCTATGGGTTTCACTGAGTTAAAGCATTTGGCCGTGACTTTGCGGGTTATAGCTGTCCGGACCGGCGTAGCGTGTCTTCGTGTCCGCGTAGTGACCGTCAACATCGCGATTCTCCTTACGTTCGGCCTTCTCCGCGTGTGGGCGATTTCGTTTGAAGAAACCACACTAAATCAGCGACAATAAGGCTTGGAGTATTGCTAAGGGTCCAGAGTCATTTGCAAAACGTACCCTCCACAAGAGGAGAATAAGCAGGGCGAGCAACACGAGACCGATCAAAATTGCGAGGAGGTAGAGCCACCATGGCACGCCGGCAGCAGAAGCTTCGTCATCAACGGCGTTCAAGGAAGTGGTGACCTAAACAAGCAGCACGTGTAGCTACAGAGTACTCGACTAGCATGGCTGCAGTCATGGAGTTCATCCGAAATTGAAAGGACATGAAGTGAGAAAACTTTAGAATAAAGAGATTTTGATGGGAGCCTACGGCGCTTTCAGTGGCGTTTTCCAATTCATTCCCTTTGCATTCCTTTTAATTAGCCAGCTGTCATGTAACGAGGGTCAAAGTCGTTTTATAATTGCTCGACCTGAAGTTAGGATGGAGCCTAGCCACGAATGTCTTAAATAAAGGGGGTGAGATTTAGAAGGTTTTCGACTCCAGAGTAGAATTCACCATAGCTGATTATTCTGTTCCTACTTCTAGGACCCTATTGCAAGGAAATGAGGGGATTGCAGCCGATTGTTAACCACGCCCATTTCGAAGCTGTTCAGTCCCTTTCTAGCGGGCTTTTCTAAGGTGAGTTTTTTGTTCAGTCACACTTTTTTTATGTTCTTGACTAGGGCTAGCGCATCGTTCCATACCATTAGTGTCGAAGACCTGCTGGGACTGGTTTGCTGTTCAGGAAGCTTAAAGAATCTTTCCACGGACCATGGACCAGTGGGCGGGACCGGAAGTGGTTTTGCGACGAAATGCATGGTAGGTACGGATCCACGTTCATGGGAAGGTTTGAAGTGAATCCTGTTCACGTTCGTGCGTTCGACACGTGGATCCGTACCTACCATGCATTTCGTCACAAAAACTTCCGGTCCCGCCCACTGGTCCATGGTCCGTGGAAGATTCCTTTCAAATAGGTCGAAGTGGGCCAAGTTTAGCATGAAGTCGGAGGTATTGTGAGGTGCAGCTGATATTCGCCCGGAACGCGGGCACTTGGTATTCAGCTGCCTGCGTGATAGGATGGGAGGACTAGACCTTCCATGAACCTCCACTGATGCTATGAGCTGCTCACTGAATTTCCTATAATTTGAAGTAAAAGGACATGTTCGCGAATTCGTAACGTGCCCAGAGAGACTTTCAATATCGATCACCATCATTAAATTTGTTAGGGAATGGCTTCGATAATTTGTGCTTATATTGAATAAGATAAGATTTAGGAACTCACTGCTGTGGCCAGCGTGGGGGCTTGTGCGGCAGTGGACTCTGGATGGGTGACTTTTTGGCAATCTGCTAAAGATGAGATTTCACCTCCAGGATTGCGTTCGTCGACCAGTGTGTTGAGGTAGAGGCGGGAGAAGATCTAAATCTGATGTTTTGGTGGGGCCTAACTATCGAAAAACGCTATGGTGTACCTCCACAAGGACAAAATCGTTCCTACGATGATTGTAAAGACTAGATTCGATGTGGGTGCATCTTAGACGCGGTGCAGTTCACACATTGGTCGAACTCAAACATCTTGGTATCGAGATGACACGCGGGTTCCTTCGATCCTTCGGCTGTCGAAGATCGAGAAACGAGATTGTATCTGAATTGTAACGTTTCTTTCAGTTGACCCACAGTTGCTGCGGTGCTTATTACCGAGGTTTTGCCTCGTCGGTTTGTGCCCTGGGCGGCGCTTGTTGTTGCGGCTTTCGACTTCGCTGCCCTCTTTACGCGGGCTGCCTTGGCGGTCGTGAGTCTTATCTTGTCTCATACTCTGCATCAGGAATGTTTTAATATTCCAGGCGTCGTGTCTTTGCCTTGTATTCCCGCACGTGCGCCACATCTGAGCCAGGGTATGGCGCTGACGTTAAGCTGAAAAGGATGTCGTAATTTTGAATCAAATGAAGCAACGATTGCCATTTAAAGAATTTGAGATCAAGTGTGGTGCTTTGGCTTAGTCTACCTTTTCTGACGTGCAACGAATCCAGCAAAACGGTATGCTGAACCTGGAGGATGTGCCCTTTTCTCCTGGCGGAAGTGATGGAGTCTAGAAAGTTTCTATTTGGCGCCGCTACAGTAGAATTGCTTGTGCTGGATAGGAGTGCGAGCTCCGTTTTTCTTTGGGCTGCTTGGTCGTTTAATTAGGAACGGCCCTGCCGGGGAAGGGGAGTGGAGGGAACCATTTGGAAGTCGAACTTCGGGGTAAAAGATCTGTGGAGCTATCGCAAGATTCCGGGGACACTTGTCATATGGCAATGCATTTAAAATTCGGCAGAAAAATGTCTTTTTTGTTGAACGGGACTAGATTTTTAGCTCTTGGCCAGGAGGAGATTCCAGGGTTGGTTTAGCTTTTTCACTCTCTCCGGATTTCGTGCCCTTCCGTAGGTGTAGTTTCTAGATATGCCCGTATACTTGCGATAGCTGCAATCCATACATGATCAAGTGTGCTAGAACAACGATATTTGAATCAGATGTAATGCACTTTTCCGGCCCAAATCGTAATCTTCATTGCTTCCGAGTGTGATTCTTTCAGTGGCTGAAGGCGGGGACCACAGAAGTGCAATAAATGACCCCATGGTCTGAATTGAAAATGCTGGTTCAGACCTTTGTTTCTTCCTCCCTCTCCATATGCTCTTCGGTCTCGTCTTCGTCTTCTTCCTCTTCTTCGGTTTTACCGTAATCACCTGACTGTATTGTGTGAGGAGCTTCAGTAGAAAGGTGCTCATTGGTTATCTGCAACAAAAATGTATTTTAACTTATCTGTTGAAAATTGGATTGTTTTCCTCACCCGCAGATTGAGTGGGTTGATATTCTGTATTTGTTTCACACGGCACCGCCCTTTAGAGGGGTCATTTAAGACCGGGTCGGTGATAATGTAGAGGAGATGACCGCCGTCAGCCGAGAACGACGGCCAGAAGATGTCGAGCGTGGCGGCTTCGATCTCTGACGGACCTCGGTTCGACACCTTCAAAGAAGAAACGATGAGTTATGCGTATGTGGATTGAAATGGGTTGAATTGTAAGCATGTGAGCATCCAAAGGAGTTCTACATCATCGCTCCTCTATAGAGTCAAGTTCTGCGGCAATCTGATCGCCACTCCCTTGTTCGCCAGGGAGAAACCTCCAACTGACAACTATAACTCACCTGATAAAGATGACTGACAACTGGGCCGATCTCGTTGTCGTCGAAAACATCAGAAGGAGTTTTGTTCCTTGTCGAGAAGTCGATCTAAAATTATGCCTATAACGTCGCTGTAGAATATCACACAACGAGGAGGAAGCGCCTTGCTCCGATTCAGCACCTGTTCAGGGTTTGATCGCCCGTTGAGGGAGAGTTGATTTCTGACGTCGACTGGAATTGTAAAAGTGAACGAGTTGTCGCCCTCCGTGTGATCTGCTTCCTCGTTTGAGCTGAAATTGCACACGTTTTCGCTTTTCGTTGGGCTCAGAGGAATGTAGCGATGTGCTTGAAAGCGAGGGAATACGATAAAGTGCGTTTGCAGCATGGAAGTACATGCACCAGTGGAAGCAGTAGTCAGGGGCTGGAAGGAAGCGAAATGTGGCGTTTTTGCGGCCTAAAGTGCAGCAGTTGCAGCGCACTGGGCTTGCCAACAAGGTCAAACGTTGCGTTCGCACCTTTCCAAAAATTGTATGATCTTAGGGAGGTCTCGATGTGACCCCCTACCACCACCACCATCGGCCTTAGTAAATTCCCCCCCCCCCCTACGTAACAACTCCTCCCTACCCCGATCGCCACCCTCATCATCATGGCTGTTTTCGTAACACTGAAGCAAATCCACTAATTTTGTCTGCTTTATCCTACTTCCATGGAACTTTCGCCAAACTCGTCGAAAAAACCCGACGAATACAACCCCT